GCTAGACATCCGCTAGATTTCTATTTTGAAATATATACTATATATATATATATGTTCATATATATATATATATATATATATATATATATGAAAAATATAATTTTAAGGTGTGCTATATTTATGGGATAAAATTATCAATGTCTGAGACAGAGCGTATGTAAATATATATATATATATATATATATATATATATATATATATATATATATATATAAGTGAAATTGAAGTCAACATTCAGAGGTGAAAGGTTGCTTCATGCTAGACACAATCGTCAGGCCTCCTGACGATTGCACTAACATGAAACCGTCTTTCGCCTCTGAGTGTTGGACAATAATTTTATATATATATATATATATATATATGTGTGTGTGTGTGTGTGTGTGTGTGTGTGTGTGTGTGTGTTTGCGTATTTGTATGTGTGTGGGCATTATTTCAAATGTTATTATCGTGGAATGTCATATTTTAACTTGATGTCTTATTTATGTTTTAAACAATGTCTATTAAATCTATCGATCTGCGCCTTCGAGAAACCTGGGTAAAGAAAATATTTAGCGTTTGAAGTAATAAAAATGCTGTCTTAAAAAAAATCCATTAATTCTTTTGAACAAAGGATTATATAGGTTCTACTTAAGTGTGTGATCTACCCTAAAAAAATTATCTACATGAGCAGATTTACTTCATGTCCACATATAAAATGGGCTCTATTTTTAAATTCTAATAAAATAGAGAACTAATAGTTTTTTGGCTTTTTTTTTAATGAATTAAACATTAAACATTTTGGTGCCACCTGAATATGTGTTCTCCGTGCATGATTCTACTTAAATATATGAGCTTCATGCGTCCAAAGATTACAATTTCATCTCGATTTCATTTGCTGGAAGATTATGAGAACTAATCACCAAAATTTATTTATTCCATTTCTGAATGATGGTCAAACTGTTTACGGATAGTTATAGTATTAGACAAAATAATTTCCTTTTTTTATTTTTTATCATATCGTATTATTTGTTTAGTATATTTTTATAGTATATTAAATAAAGATTATTATTAATAATAGTAATAATAATAATAATAATAATAATAAAATAGTAGTGAATACCATTTCTATATCCCTATGTTATTCCCTGAATGCTGGTACTAGAAGAAGACCTCTTGAACTCTGGACATCTGATTATAACTCCCTTATTACATGGGTAGGGCGAGCTCTTTAGTTTTAAGCGACAGTCATCCTAGATGTGATATCTTGTACAAAAATTACCCCTTAGCGATCAAGAAAAAAAAAACCCGAAAAAATAAATCAATAATTTCATTGCTTTCAACCAATATTAATACCGGTTCGGTCGTAACCCGGGTCAACATCGGCCGCGTCCCTCAGTGGAGAACCAATCTATTGCCGAAAAAATCTCTCAATGAAGCGAACTCTTCCAACAACTATGAGACACCTGGTCACCAAACCCGGATTAATTCCAACCTTGGACCAAGTGACTCAATGCTAAATCAATCAATAAAAAGAAAGGGTACGAAATGGAATCGCGAGGAGTATCAATAAGTCATGGCGTCCTTTCCCCCTCACTTGAAAGTCCACAAATGAACATCACAGATCAGACATACCAAATATTGCAAACAATGGTAGGAAATGAAATAAGGACCAAACAAGCTTAGCAATATCGGCAGGGATATCGGTCGAAATAAAAGCCTCTCAAATGCAGAAAAAGATCAGATAAAACTAAATATAAGACAGAATACAATGATCCATCGCTCAAACAATAATGCGATGAAAGTGGTGTTAAATAATTTAATAGAGGATGAGGTAATAACAAAAATATTCGAGATACGAAATAATAATCTCCCGGGAAATTGCAGAATCTTCACACGACATAAACAACTGTAGTTATTCAGACTATGTC